ATTGAAATATCTGATGATGAGGATGTAGATGTTTTCCTTACAACATTCATCGAAAATAATACGTCGCAATTTCTTGTGTTATACGTCGATATTGAGACAACAAAGGATCTATCAATACCGATTCGTGGGCTGGATCTTAATAGTCAGTCACAGTACGTATTGTCGTCTGTTCCGCAGCCCATACAATCAACTATTGCACATGAAGAAGAAAACGACTATATGGTAGATGTTGAACCTGATATGGAAGAAGTAGACGAAGATGAAGATACTTTGTTAGCAAATGACCATGATCAGAATGATAGCGATGCAGGTGATGAAGTTCACGTTGATCCTGTGGTACCCGTGTCTAGTATCCTTATGTCCAATATCGCAATTGTGCCACCACCATCAGGTTAGTTAGTGAGTTGCGTTTTTAATTTTTAATTTTTTATTAGTTACCACATTATTGCATATACCTATTATGTCTGTATATGCAGATGTGACACCATTTTGGAACGTCATTCCACATTATGAGGCTGTTAATTGTGATTATCCGAACGAAGACATACTGGATGTGGAAGGATTAGGTCGTGGTCCATGGACAAAAGGAGATGAGATGTATGTGAAACAAGAGTTCGGGTCCAAACGCGATGTCCAAGGCCATAAAACATTACTGTATGAAGGAACATCAAGAAGCTATAGTAGTTGAGAGTACTACGACCAAGTTGTCTATGAAATGTCTGAACCATGAACAAGGTTGCACTTGGCGAGTAAGAGCAATTAAACCGAAGAATAGCAGCACCTGGGTGGTTAGTAAATGGGTTGGTAATTAAAATAAAAAAAATAAAGCGAACATGGGTGCCCGTACCTGGGCGCGGCTGCTGCAGTGAGGAGAAGAAGAGGCGGGCTTTTTAGAGAGAGGGGAAGGGGATTTTAGAGAGAGGGGGAGGGGATTTTAGAGAGAGATAAAAAAATTTAGAGATGATGAAATCAGGGAAGAGGAGGAGGCTGACGATCTATGAAATGTGAGTGGGAAGAGGAGGAGGAAGAAACGGTGGAGCGGCGGAGGCCGGCGACGACGAGAGGTGAGACGATGGCGAGAGGTGAGACGATGGCGAGAGGCGAGACGACGAAGAGGTAGAGTGAGACTCGTGGTGTTGGGTTAGGGATGAACGAGGGGAGATTTATTGGGTTGCACAAGTACTGGCACAATTGTTGCCAACACTAGTGCTGCCATATTTATTGCCAAGACTCAACATAAATTGCCAGAATGGTGACGTGGAAAGGTGTCCTGGCAGGTATGTTGACAGGACTGAATATGGCAACAACTTTGACGCGACTGACTGCTCTAGTATGGTCATACTTTCCACGTGTGTTTTGAACAGGAGATATTTTCTCTATATATTAGTACAACGGTGCTTTTGCCGAAATGGATGATTAGCATCAATAAACAATAGTTATATATTTCAATAAAAATAAAATAAAATAATACTTCTATATAATTTTTAAAAGAAATTACATAGAATGTGTACCAAAATATTATTAAAAATCAGGTCTAGGCCTTTGTTTTTCACAACAAAAGTATATATAAAAATAACCTTCAACGGCAGTATACTGTAAATACTATTTTGGTAAAAGATAAAATAATATATCGTTACCCATCCGATTTATTTATTTTATTTATTTATTTTTTGGTAAAATACCCATTCGATTTATTAATTTTTGTAAACAAGGTATTGCTCTAGAATTTTTCCAGCCAGTGGTTATGCTTATGCTTAACGATCTATATAATATTTCAACCTTAAGTTATTTATTTTATAAAATAATCCCTAACTCTATCTGGTTAGGTATGTTTACAATTTTAGGAGGGTTTATTGGCACTTTCAATCAACTATTTACATTTTTTATCAACAGCCTTTGTTATTAATTTTTAAATATTTTTTAAGTAAATGTAATGCATAATAGGAATATCATTAATTAAGATTTGACTTCACCAAAATATTTATTTAATTAAAAGAAAATTGTGATTTGTGAATTGGTGTTGAAAGTACTAGCTTTACTTACATTTCATCACGCAACAACTATAATATTATACAGAAAAATATTTTGCAGTTAATGCTGATAAGTTATTTGCATTTATTCCCAAAATGACGTCGTTTTAGGATTGAAAAATTAAAAACTCTAATTATAAAGACTATAATAACCCTGAAATAAATTAAAATTACAAAAATATCATGATTTTCATCCCAAAACGATGTCGTATTAAGCTTACTACAGATAACTTTTTTGCAGTAACTGCAGAAAAATAAACCCAATTTTATATATGATTTTTAATATTTTCCAGTCGCTTTACGTGAAGCAGTGACAAATTTTCCATATATATATGTTAAAGTATTTAATGCGGAGAATCATAACCATACACCTGTTATTGCATTGCTGCACGTACAACAACTTTAGATAATATTTTACCTATTATATATATATAGATATAGGAAATAATGTTTCTCATGTTATGGTATCTAATGCACATCATAAAGTGTGTGGGGCCGAGGAGAAGAAAGTGAAAGAGTAAACATGAATCGCACACATTTTTATGTGTGTGTAGGAAATAAAATTATCTCATACACCATGAGAAACATTAAATTCATATATACATATATGGGCAGAATATACTTACCACAAAAAATGTTTACCACCTTTACAATCAACCTAATCACCATTATATATATATATATATATATATATATATATATATATATATATATATATTGTGAGAACCATTTTACAACTTTATAAGTTACACTTACGATCTTAATCGTTAATTCTATTTATATGTAATGACTCTGATTTATTATATATGTGAGCCATGCAAACAAATCAATAGCTAAATTTTGATGTAATGGCATATTATTCTTAAATCGATACAAGAATAAACAATCATACACTCAATCTTAATTATTAATCTACTTGTATTCAATGACTTATATAATTGAAAAATTAGAACTGTAGATATAAGTGGAATCAATAATTAAAATTGAAAGTGTAACTTATATCGGTGTAAATTGGTATTGACCCGCAAATTAAGTTACATTATTAACCTTGTCCATTATTTTTTCAGAAAAATATTTATGCAGTTAATGCAGATAAGTTATCTGCATTTACTCAAAAAACGACGTCGTTTTGGGATTAAAAGATTAATAAATTATAATTATAAAGACTATAATAACTCTGAAATAAATTAAAATTACAAAAATATAATGATTTCTGTCCCAAAATGACGTCATATTGGGCTTACTGCAGGTAACTTATCTGTAATAACTACAGAAAAATTGAACCCTTATTTATATCTAACAATTATATATTTTTTAATTATGTGAGACATCGGATACAAATTGATCAATGATCAAGATTAAATGCGAAACTCATTATTCTTGCATCGGTATAAGAATAACCTCCCCTTTTATATACGGGCTTTCAACTTACCTGTTGCATGAGAAGTTTGAAAGTTCCTATGGACATTAACTTGTGGTGGGGCCCACCCGTAAAAAAAAATTGACACGGAAAATGAAGTGTGAGTGATAGGAGAAGATACTTTTCCTGAAACATGAGAACTTTTTTTTCCTTTATATATAGGAATTTTATTTTCTCATATTATTTGAGATAACTATCTTATATTATGGACACATGATGTGGTGGAGTCCACCACCCATTACAAAAATAGAAAAAGAAATAGTGGTGAGACAATATTTTATGTGAAAAGAATATGAGATAGTTATTTCACGTAAAATGAGAGAATGATTTCTATTATATATATATATATATATATATATATATATATATATTCTTGTTGAATACAAAAAAAAAAAAAATTTGTAACCCACGGATGATCTATGTGTTGCATTATAAAAGTAGCTTTTTATTATGGAAAACCATTGTAAGAAAGAATTCAATCCACAAGAATTGGACAACCTAGTATTCTCTTCTAAATTTGTTTGCAAAGGAAACCTTTTTCCTTCTATCTTGTTTCTGAAAGTTTATTAGAACAGAAGCGTTGAAACACAAAGAAGTCTCTAGTTTTCTTTTTGTCCCCCAAAAGATAGAGAGAAAGGCTCAGAAGACAATAAAGATGAGAACCAAGGGGGTCTTTTGATTTTATTTTTTTTCTTTTCTTCAAAATTATTCTTCAATACAAATTTTATAAATTAATTTTAAAAATAAGAAAATAATAAAAATTATTTAAATATAATTATATTTAGAGTTGAAAAAAATCAAATTATTTGTAAAAATATCATTAATAAATATTCATAATTATAAATTTGTTACCATAAAAGAATGTAAAATTAAAAAAATTAGATTTATTTATGAAAATATCATTAATAAATCCTCATAATCATAAAATTGTCACCAAAAAAATAAAACAAATTTTGAAAACATCTCTAGAGTATTCTCTAATTTTAATTGCAAAAACTAAAAAGAACTTATTATTTTGAGAGTCATTTTCACAAAACAACGTTTGTAAAACAAATGTTTTTATTTTTTATTCTAAAAACTAAAAAATGGTTTTTGAAAATAAAAATCTAACATGCCAAGTTTTGTGAAATTAAGCGACCATAAACTATTATTTTTCTTCCATTTGGCTTCATCCGCCCTTGCAGGTTAAGCTAAGCTAAGTGCAGTGTCCTGGAATCAAATCAAATCTTCAAGAATTTTGGTAAAGTCAAAATTGTCAAGCATAATACAGCTAACGTACTTAACATTATACACGGTTTCTTGATCTCGATGAAGCATGCCTTGCAGATCCACGCTCCACATTCTACATTGATTTAGTCAAATACTCTGTCATAGATGTTTGACTTTGCATAGTTGACCCGGAGGGTATTATCATATTATGGGCAAGAGATAAACCAAAAAGATAGTGCAAATTGAACCTTCTATATAAGTGTAACATTTCATGGCCATAACCACCCCACAATCTAAAAACCTCTCTATTTTCTGTTACTTGTAGCTAGAACCTTTTGGCCATGGCTTCAAGTTCTCTCTCTCTGTCCTTTCCCTGCTTCAAACTCAAGTTTTGGTTGACTTTTATTACATGTCTTATTGGTTTAACTTCAGCTCAGTTATCCACTAAATTCTATGATAAAAAGTGCCCAAAAGCCCTTCGCATCATTAATAAAGCAGTGGGAGATGCTGTGAACAAAGAGCGTCGCATGGGGGCATCCTTGCTTCGACTCCATTTCCATGACTGCTTTGTTCAAGCAAGTCTCATTTCACTCACCATCTTTTATTTGCATAACTTTCGTTGCCTGCTTTATGCATTCACTAATTCATGCATGAACTTCAATATTATTCAGCATGTGAATGTTGTGTTGTTAGATATTTACAATATAAGCCTCGCTCTTTCACACACACACATACACACACACACACACGAGTAATTGTATGCACCAAAATATGCTAGCATTAATGCTGTAAAACAAAGTCTCTCACAAACTTGCAAAATGTATTTTATTTTTGTTGGGGCACAACAAAATGTATTTTTTTATTATTCATGATAATACTCATATATACAAAGGCAAGATTTATACACTGCCAGCCTTTGACAGAAAAGATAAATATTTTAATGTTAGAATCCTTGTATTTGAGGATTTCTTTTATGGGTTTAAAAATTTTCAAGTTGCATAAAAATAAAAGTATCTCCTACACACATAAAACGGTGTGGAGTCTATGTGAAACCATGTAAAGAGAAGAGAAAAAAAAAGAAAAAATAAGCCCCACACATTTTTATGCATGTGTAAGAGATAATTTTATTCTATATAGGATGAAAAAATACATATATATGAGATAAGATCCTTTAATACCGATGTCAAATTTAGAAGTTTGGCACCAAATCCTAACTGTTGATTTTTGCAATCGACGGTTATAATTTGTATTGAGAATTACTAATTAATTACTAAGTTTGATCCAATAAATTATAATTGTCATATTGGTGAAATCGACGATTAGGATTTAGTGTCAAATATTTTAGTTTGACACTGGTGTCAAAGGATTCTACGCCTATATATATTCATCGATTACTCAACTAATGCGATTTAAACATTGTAGTATCTATTATAGGAGACGACTTTCCTAAGATCATTTTCTCTATTATCTAGTTAAGGGGAACAAACTCTACCACTTGAACCAATTGTATTTGGGGATTTCTTTATTGACTAAAAGATACAATTAAATGTGTCTAATTCTAAAAATGAATTTTGTTACAGAATAATACTTAGTATATACAGATGATATAATCATATTATTCACAGAATAGTACATCATGGTTTTATCACTCAAATTATGTGGTAGCTAGATGGCATTTCTCAGAAGACATTGATAATGAAAAGTAACTTATGTGTCTCTTCTAAGAATTAATATTGATGTTCATTTTCACGTTAATTTGTCTTTTACAGGGATGTGATGGATCAGTGTTGTTAGATGACACAGCAAATTTCACTGGGGAGAAAAGTTCTTTTCCAAACCGTAACTCCCTTAGGGGTTTTGAGGTCATAGACAACATCAAATCTCAATTGGAGAGTTCGTGCCCCGGTGTTGTCTCTTGTGCTGACATCGTAGCCGTTGCTGCCAGAGACTCTGTTGCTGCTGTAAGTACAAGTATCCAAAAACACACACACATATATATATATGTACAATCCAATTAAATTGGTCAAATTAAGATTCATTTGCCCATACAGTGAGTGTATATTAATATATTATGATGGAAAGTAAATAATGTAAGTCAAATTCTTTAATTTTTCTCAGCTTGGTGGACAAAGATGGGATGTACAATTAGGCAGAAAAGATTCAACCACAGCAAGTTTAGATGAATCTAATTCAGACTTACCTGCTCCCTTTTTGGATCTTAGTGGCCTTATCACTGCTTTCGCCAAGAAAAATTTCACAACCAAAGAAATGGTTACTTTATCAGGTAATTAAATGCACTTTACTACGTGATACAAGTTTCATATTGGTTCTCTATACAACTAATGTGAGATTTATAATGTTTTAGGCACTCCCACTTTTTAAACTAATTTTTGAAATTGTGATATCAAGATCCGTAACAATTGGTACTCTCGTAAAGAGTTGAGGCCATGAAAATTACATATAGGTTGGATTAAAGTGCTTTTGGGCACTGAAATTACATAAAACTAACCATCTTTTTGTTATTTTTTTGATGAAAACCATGGTTCAGGAGCTCACACAATAGGCCTAGTGAGGTGCAGTCTATTCAGAGCAAGGGTTTATAACGAGACAAATATAGATCCCTCATTTGCAGCATCAATGCAAGCAAAGTGTCCCTTCGAAGGTGGTGATGACAATTTATCTCCTTTCGATTCCACCACTCCATTCATTTTTGACAATGCTTACTACAAGAACTTGGTGAAGAAAAAGGGTCTCGTACACTCGGACCAACAACTCTTCGTGAATGGGTCAGGAGGACCCACAGACTCTGAAGTAGTTACATATAGCAGAAACATGGGACGTTTCAAAAAAGACTTTGCAGACGCAATGATAAAAATGAGCATGCTTAGACCTTTAACTGGCTCAGGCGGTGAGATCAGGAAAAACTGCAGGGTGGTTAATTAATCCATCAACTACTGTTTAATGATTAATGGGTAGGCTACTTACAGGGGGTATTCTTTAAATAAAGCCTTTGTTTATGAAATTTCATTCATCTATTTAATTAGTTGTCGAATTAATTGTCAATTGTAATCTAATCCCATACTTGTTATAAAAATGTGTCTGATTTGTATTGAAATACTATATTACCATTACATGTGTAATCAATGAGAGTTCCAATAATATTCATTATTAAAAAAGCATCATCGACGGACAAAGTCAATCAATATTCATCAAATATCCGTCGATGTCAATGCTTTCGACGAAACTCAATATAATCAATCGATATTCATCAATTTCATTGTCAATCAATGAGAAGGAGTTAATGATTCCATATCTTTGCAAGAATAAGTATTCCTTTACTAAAACTAAGAAAAAATACAATTTTTATTAATAAAAAATAATAAAAAGAAAAAATATAATATCAGTAACATTAACCCTAATAACGAGATAGGTGAAATAAATAAAGTTAAATAGTTTTTTTTCTTATATTTTTTATTCAATTGTAGCAAGTGATGTACTGAGTTGTAATGCCCCATAACATGTTTATCAGATGTCACGTCCAGGGGGAACACACTTAACGCTAGACCTCTAACGTTTTTATTGGATGCGCCATTACTTCTTACGAGACTTGATTTATAATTAATTCACTCCATATAATTAAAAATCATTTGAATTTGATTCGACATTAATGTTAGTGGAAATGAAATTAAAAGTAATTTATTGCTAGAATCATAAAAACATGCCTCTTCATTTTAAAGGTAATTTAATGCAATTGAGTTTCAATGATGATAAACATAGCTATTAACATAAAGTGATTTAATGCCAGAGTATGAATAATTTTCATATGATGGTCTAAGATTTGGGGATTAAGGTCCTGACTCTTAAACCGGATTTCAGGGGTAAGGCATAAAATAAATAATCATGTTATACTATAAGATCCGTAATTAATATTTCATCAATTATACAAACGTGCCTATAATTTTAGGTGTAAAACATAAAATGAAAAAGTATTAAGTTATTTCCGTTAGCATTGGAAACAAATCAAATTCAAGGATTTTTTTAGCTATATGGAATCAATTAATGATTAATCGCAAATATAATTTTAATAAAATAATAAGACATATGTTACTATACGTGTTTTCGTATGACAAATGAGAAAAATATGTATCATTTCAAAGGATATAAAATTATTAGAAGTGTTAACGAATTGAGCCGAGCTGTCTAGTTTTGGTTTTAAAAGGCTAAGTCTGTGTTTAAATGTGTCAGCCTGACCAAGCTTGTTACCTGTTATAAATATAATTATCGGTCTGTGGCCAGACTTATTTACAAAAAATAAAAGTCTGGTTTAGCCTGTTTAAAAAAAAATAAGACTACAAAAATTTGTTCAAACAGACTATACAATCAACAACACTAGTAATTTCATAAATATTTATAAATTTAATATCAAAACAACATAATATAGAACAAAATCATTAAAAAAGTTTGTTTAACCAATAAAAATGGGTGAATGAATTGAAGAGAAAGAGAGAGCTATTACAAGTAGTATAAAAAATAAAAAATATAAATAAAAAATAATATATCAAGGCTGAGATTTTGAATTAGAGCATAAGGTCTTTTTATTAAATGAGCTTTTATATAAGTTCAAACCTGATGCCAACAATCAATTTTAGACATGTAAGTTCAAGTCTTTACGAACCGAGCCAAAAGCCCCTGGTTCGTTTAGCACCCCTAAAAATTATGTCATTTTAAGAGAAAGAAAGAGATAGATAAAGGAGGGGGAGAGAGAGTGAACAGAAAAAATAAAGGTGTGGGTCCCACCTCTTTGTAAGAGTGAAATGATATAAGTTGTGTCATTTAAAAGGACAAAGGACATAAGATGTGTCATTTAGAATGACACATATTTTCCCCTAAATTAATTGACCATATTTAATATAAATTTTAACCATAACCCTCAATAAGTTTTTTTTATCAGGGAAATACAATTACTATGAATATGGTGGGAAAATGAGTTTGGTTATTTGTTAGGTCGAAAAATATTATCGGAAAAATTAGGGTAAATTTTATGAGTCTATGTTTGGTTGAAGATAAAATATTGATAGAAAAATGAGATGAAATTACCAAACTAATCCATGGCTAAATACAAGGAAGCCTCTATCTCCAACTTTTTTTTTGGCATTTTTTGTTGAGAAGAGATATTTGTGTCTATTACTTTTTTTCCTACATTTTGGTTTGATGGGGTAATGAGAATACCACATGGCAAAAAATTTTAATTTTACATACAAACTGAGATTGTCATGCAAGTTCGAACGAAGCGCAAATTTTTTAAAACCTCCTACCAAACATGGTTAACTAGAAAACTCATCTCAACTTTCATAGGCATCCAAAAAAAAACTCTCCTACCAAACACCCCATCAATTTCTTTTTAAAATTTCTTCGCCATTTCATCCATATTATTCAAAAACATTTTTTCAATTTTTTAAAATTCAATGTATTTCAAAATATTAAAGAATACGACGTGACAAACATGCTTGGAAATGGATCCTTTAATGTGCCAAAAAAACATGATATGGTAATGTGGGAAGATCACAACCATACAAAGGTAAATCAACGATTATGATTTCGTAATTACCTATTTTATCATTTTTTTTCTCTTCTCTTTTTTTATCATTGATCCACCCTTGTATGATTATGATTTCTCATATGACATGATTATGTGAATTTTCACATGAGAGGATTCAGATCTAAGTCAACGTCTTTTCGCTACATAAAATGATTAATGAGTACCGCTTGGCAGATATGCGCGGTCAAGGTTAACGTATTTCTTTTATATAAAATGATAAATAAATTGGCCATACTTAATATAAATTTTTAAAAAGTTAACCATAACCCTCAAAGTTCTTTTCTTTTTAAAATTTCTTCACCTTTTCATCCAGATTATTCAAAAACCCTTTTTTAATTTTTAAAATTCAATGTATATCAAAATGTTAAAGACTACTATGTGACAAACATGCTTAAAGTTAACATCTTTTCGCTGCATAAAATGATAAATGAGTTCCACTTGACAGACATGCTCAAGGTTAACGTATTTCTTTTATATAAAATGATAAATAAATTAGCCATATTTAATATAAATTTTGAATTTTTTAACCATAATCCTCAAAAGTATTTTCTTTTTTGTTTTTTTAAAAAAATTCTTCACCGATTCATCCAGATTATTCAAAACCTTTTTTTTTTTAAATTCAATTTATTTCAAAATATTAAAGACTACCACGTTACGAACATGTTTAAAGTTAACGTTTTCCGCTACATAAAATAATAAATGAATTCCACTTGACAGACATGCTCAATGTTACGTCTTTCTTAATTTTATATAAAATGATTAATAAATTGGCCACAATTTTTTTAGAAAATTGACTATATTTAATATAAATTTTAAATTTTTTAACCATAACCCTAAAAATCTTTTATTTTATTTTTAAAAAATCCTTCAATGGTATGAACTCAAAAGCCTTTTATTTAAGAGAAATATATCTCTCGTATTATATGAGATAATTTTATCTTACACATATATTAATAGTTAATCACTTACTTTGTGATATGTTCCATAAAATAAAATTGACGAGAAACATGCTTGTTTTATTTAAGGATAATATTTCTATCATGTAACATGATATAGAAAAGCATTCTTACTCACACATTAAATATTGTGTCAACATTTCTTTTGTTTTTATTTTTTTTTCATGATTGATCCCACCAAAGTTTGTTTGGGTAAAAAATTAATTTTATATTATGTTACATAACATGTGTATTTTCCTTTATTTAATGTGTCAGTATTGCTTTATGAACACTTTTTACCCGCATAGTCTTTCTTAAATATTTTTTGACTGTTTCCAAAAAATAAATTTTTTTGACTCACACCCATTGCATGGTCACCTCAGCGTCTCTTCCACCGTAAAGGTCTTAACCACCGGAAAACTGGGTTGAGACTTCGCTCCACCGTCGTCTTGCGGTTCGCACTTCACCAAACCACATTGCCGCCCTCACTCGTCCAGTAACCACCAGCATCACCGTCGCTCATTCTCTGGCAACCACCGTTCACTGCGCGTAAGATTCTCCATCGCTAAATGCAACTACGATTTCTAGTCTCAATTTCCTCTTAGAAAAAATCAGGTTCCGTGGATGATACTTATGCTTTGCATACGATTTCAAGTAGCCAAGGTGCCGCTGATCCTCAGAGCATAGGTAATTAGTACTTCATGCTTATGTAGTTAGTGAAGGGCCGGCTTCACTCAGCGGTAAGTTTGTTTGCCGTGGTGTCCAAAGTCCTGGGTTCGACTCGGCCTCCTTGCAAAGCATGGGTAAGGCTTGACTCGTATTTGCCCTTTCCCAAACACTCACGCAGTGAGTTTGAAGTGGGTCGGCCCTATGTCGTTAGTGCTACACGAATAGTCCTGTTTTTTCTTTCATTTTTCAACATGTTGACATTTTACAGATTTTTAGATTTTTTTATTCCATGGACCTCAGTTATTATTTTTATTTAAGACTTAAAAAGTATTACTATTCATCTCAATTGTTGATTTTCGTAACGATTGTTATACATCTCAATTAGTATAACTCAATAAATTATAATCATTAGATAAACGAAAATCAATAATTAAAATAAAAAGTAAGACTTTTAAATTTTACATCGTAGTCACTTCTATTAAGTTTTTGTTCATTAATTGTAGACAAGGGCTTTAAAGTTCAATTATTACATCTTATGGTAATTTGTTGGACTGGTATTCGGTCTAACATTTTTCACATTCACCTCAAGTTGTTTGTAGCTGTGCCCTGCAATACTTAAAATCTCAAATTCATTTGTTTGGAACTTTTGATTAATTTATGGTTTCTGGTTGTCCACACCCTAGCTTCTAGAGACAAATTAAGGTGCAGAACAGTGGTGATTATTATGTCCATTTTCAAAA